AAAAAAAAAAAAAAAAAAAAAAAAAAAGGGCCCAACTCAACTGCAAACACACTGCACAACACTTGCACACAAGAAAACAAACTGCATATCAACCCGGCATGGCAGTGAATGAATTTCAATGAAACGCACAAATATGAATGAACGAGAAAATCATCCTTATCTTGTTGTGAAGACGCAAGCAGAGAGATGCAATAAACTTGCAGATTCTCAGCAGGCTGTAATAAGAGTAACCGGGTCATTTTTGCAATTTGCTTCAGTTTCCGTCCTAACCAGTAACCATAACAGGCCTAAGCCTACAGGGACATTTCTGCAAAATACTAAAATTCCCAGGCCCTAGTCCTACCAACACCTGGTACCAGTACCATTACTGGGAAGTGCAGGCCCATTTTGTTAGTAGAGTCCCAGGCCCTAGAGGTCCGTGAGTCCGGTAGGCTGTAGAGAGGCTAGAAATGTGACGAGTTAGATAGAGGACATGTTCTTTGATCAGTTTTGGACTGCAGTGGGATGTGCTGTTTGGAGGTCCCAAGTGTTGACGTCGCCATGGTTGCAGGGCAGCACCATAACTGGAGGTTGCTGCTGTGAGTCGAAGGCCGCGCTTAAGCCTGTGCCTCAGGTGCTGACATGGTCACACAAGAGCTGTGCTGTTGGGGTTAGGCGATGCGATATATTCTTCTTCCTCGCAGCTACGTTTCTTTTTCTTTGAAGATGAGGCTTATTCTTCTTCACCAAGGGAGACGGCACTGCCCGTCCTGATTGGGCGCTGGTTGGGCGCTGACTCGGTGCTGGAAGTCTTGAGCCATTTCTGATTGGCGTTTTTACAGAGAAGGGGTGCCGGTGGTCTGCAGGCTCAGTGGTTGGGCGCTGGTTTCCAGATGAGTTGGTTTCGGCGGAATATGAGTTGCTCCCCACTCAAATTCTCCTTTGACTATCGCGTCTCGAAGCTTCAAAAGCTTTTCAAGCGAGGTACCGTCAATAGTTGTTTGATCGGGGCCCAGAGTCGCCTTTCGTGATAATTTATATGTGACGATTATACAGATTCCGATGTTTCACAGAAAACCTCCAAGATCATAGGTAAACCCTTTCGCTTTTTTTTGTATCACGGAAATCGTCATAGCACAAAAACAGATATGGTTTGGTATTCCCCTTTTCGTTTATTGATTCTGTTTTTCATTTCTTGTTCAGCGGAAAGTTCCGGAAACGAATCGTGCTCCTTCTGATTGACCAGAAGCGGAAGCTGAGTTAGTTGCAGGCTATAACGTAGAATATTCTTCCATGGGTTTTGCTCTTTTTTTTTTATAGGGGAGTGGGAGTATGCTAAGCCAGGGTTTGGAGAGAACTCAGAGATGATGGCAGTGGAAGGAGAAGTCTCCAGTATGTCCGAATATGATTTGGTTTGAGTTTGTTCGCGGTTGTTGAAACACGGTTGGGATTTACATTCTTGGAATTTTGTACATCTGATGGGTTGGAGGAGGAAGAGGGAATAAGAGTTAAAGTTTCACTTTCAAATTTCAATTCTATTTTTACATATTGAGCTTAAGCTGTGTACTTTCTCTCCGGTTTGGTGTGGATTTGTCGTCTCCAAGTCTGCTTTGGCATTGCATACGTGTATGGGAACGTGTGGATGCTTAGCTGGATGGAATTTCAATCAGTTACAGAATAGAGCAAAGAGCAGCCCTTCTATACGAGGTATAATTAATGAAGACACTTTATTAAAAATTTACAAGACTTGTAAATGTGAAATGACAGACAATGTTTTATTGGCATTCACGTCTCCTTGTGAATAGTAGAATACACAAGCAAGACCATGTGGGTTTCTATCCACATGGGTACAGACCTACGTGGGTTTCTACCCACAAGGGTACAAACCCACGTGGGTTTCTACCCATATGGTTATAAACCACGTGGGTTTCTACCCACATGGGTACAAACATACAAAGTTACAAATCCACATGGGTTTCTACCAATGCGGGTACAAACCCACCTGGGTTTCTACCCACATGGGTACAAACCCACGTGGGCTTCTACCCACATGGATGCAAATCACGTGGGTTTCTACCCACATGGNCAAACCCACGTGGGCTTCTACCCACATGGATGCAAATCACGTGGGTTTCTACCCACATGGGTACAAACCCACGTGAGTTTTTACCCAGCGGGTGTTTCTACCCACATGGGTACAAACCCATGTGGGTCTCCGACCTGGGTAGGCCTTTCATCCATTAGGAACGACGGGGTAGAAAGAACAATGCTAATTAACTTTGTGCTCAGGAAAGTAAGAGTACTGGGGCAATGGCCAAAAACGATCTTCAGAATGGATACGGATACGGCAATTCAGGACTTGGAATTCGACCCAGCGGAATGGGCCTGCCTGGACACCAGGCAGAAGCAAAACCTTAAGAACCAATGTATTCATCCACGAATAATATGAATATACAGTTAAACTGGGATACAATCTCCTCGTTAAAACCAAGGATCCGGATCCCACTATCAAAAATAGATGGATGAAGTTGATTGGTCAGGAAGCCACCCAGATATCACAGATACCGTGGAAGAAATTCAAATCAATTCGACCGATTAAAATCAGAAGCCTCCAATAGCTTATCTCATACGTAGTGTTACCTGACAACCAATGGCTGCATATCAGAAGAAGACATAATTAATGACCCTACATACAGATCTGACCAATGCGTCGTATGCTCGGAAAATGAACCTGAAGATATGATACACTGCTTAATAAGATGCAGAGAAGCGACAGAATACTGGGCCAGGGCGTCAGATCTCTGGGCCTCCCTTTTCCCGACCCCCCTCCCCGAACACCCCATCCAACTCCTCCTTTGGACTAACATCCCGGTTCATTTCTGCAAGACGGAGAAGATATGGTTCGGCATGATCAGAAAGGTTACACTCTGGGCTATATGGAAGGAACGGTGTAGCAGAACCACTGAAGGGCTATCAACACCAAGGAAGAAAGTGTGGGCGGAGACAAGGACACTAATTCAGGCAGAGATTTTGTGCAAGTGGTAGAAGACGAGACACTCCGTAATGGATGATGCGGATCAGCAGCAGAGCACAATGGAGAAATTTACAAAGATATGGCTGGCAGGCGCGAGACAGTCCGTGACGGATGATGCGGATCAGCAGCAGAGAACAATGGAGAAATCTGAAATTTACAAAGATATGGCTGGCAGGCGGCAAGGTAGCAGAAATAAGGGACTTCCGAAAACAAAGGAAGGACTGGCACAACTAAGAAGTGAGCCTGAGAAGACAGAGAAACCATCAAGCTCCACCACAGGCCAGATGAATATCATGGCAAGACGCTTGGAACCTACAAGTGCGGACAAGTGCGAAGACTGCGGCAATCCCTTTGCCCATCCCTTTCTTGTGCTTCGAGATAAATATGACAGGTCCTATTTAGCTAGACCTGAGAGGAAAGGTGGAAGTAAGGCAAGCTGACAGTCAATCCTTCGCTACTTGGAGCAATCATTGCCGAACATAGAGAAACCAGCAAGCTCCACCACAGTCCACATGAATATCATGGCAAGACACTTGGAACCTACAAGTGCGGACAACTGCAAAGACTGCGGCAATCCCTTTGCCCATCCGTTTCTTGTGCTTCGAGACAAATATGACAGGTCCTATTTAGCTAGACCTGAGAGGAAAGGTGGAAGTAAGGCAAGCTGACAGTCAATCCTCCGCTACTTGGAGCAATCAATGCTGTTCAGGGGTCCTCCGGCCAGACGGAAGGAAGTGTGTGTGCGTAAATTGTTGTATTCTCTTGACTTGCCCGTGGAAAAGGAACCCGACTGACGCTCCCCAGAATGGATATGGAGCCAGGACCATAAGGCCCTGTTTATTAAAAGAAAAAAAAGAAAAAAAAAGAAAAGAAAAGAAGAAGAAGATGAAAAATATACAAGCGGTTGCCTGTCGAACCACTGCAGCCCTCCGTCCGCCCTCGTCTGCTTCGGGGATCGACAGCCGCAGTCGCCCATCTAGGCCCGCCCTCCTCTCTCTTGCACCCACCATCCCTCCCTTCCACCCCAAGTCACGTCCCCACGCGGTCCCTTGTTTCCGTTGCCTCCTGCCCCGTTCGACTGACCGCCCCACCTGCCCCTCCAAATCAGCCTAAAATTTGATGCCCCCCGGGTTGGGCGCCAAACCCGAAAGGGTGGGAAAAACATGTGTGATGTTGGGCCCAGCGGGAAACTGTCTCGCGGGACAGCATCACGTGAGACCCCCTATATTCTTTACAAGAGTTAGGGAAAAATAATACATGCCTTGGGATCCGGGAACGCAGTCACTTCCACTGTGTCCTTGAAGACAAAGCCGCTGGAGGAAAATTCTGCAACCTGCACGCATTGGGAAACAAACAAAGAAAAACGGAGACAAGTTGCATTTACAATGTACATACATAACATAATGTAAGAATTCCTTATTGAAGTTTATTCTGTTTGCAATGAGCCCAGTCAGATGGAAAGCTCAACAATGTCGACGTACGGAATGTCTCAGCGCAGTCTCAATGTCTCCAAATTCGTACATGTAATCAAGTAGTCCAATGTCTCATGACCAGCGAAGAAGCAGATGGGAGGGAGATAAGACTTGGAAGAGAAAGTACCCATCAGCTCAGCAGATAGATCTCCCTCACAAGCCCACTCCTCCTTCGGGCATCCCCTTCTCGCCACGTCAGCAGACAGTCTCCTCTGACACGCTCTGACAATGAACAGATCTCATCATGACGCACATGGCGCAGACTCCTTCTGAAGACGAACAGCAACACGCAATGTCGACACAAACGCAAACAGGTAAGCTTTCCCTCACATTGGACCAATCTCACAGCCCTGATCCTCCTCCTCCTCGCCCGTACTCTATCAATGTCGTAGACAGTGTGGCGAGAGCCACGTCAGCATAATCAAGTGTCCAGCTGGCGCTGTAGCCAGAGAAAGGCGCCAGCACCAAGCAATAGCAGTCCTGCGTCGTCGTCCAACGTTGAGCCAGCGTAGTGCCAGCGTCAAACCAGCGTAGAGCCAGCGCCAATCCACCGTCAAGCAGCATGTGCAAGACTGAATGTCGATCAGGGCTGGGTCAACTTATAGGTTGACTCGCTTGACTAGCCTCTGGTCTCGCAGCTAAGGTGACCCAGATCGCTCGTCTGTCAATGGCCTGGATCTCGTACAGTTGCAGATTCCCACTTGGTCGTGATTCCTTCCGGATACCTGCAGGCAACCAAAGGTATGTGTCTGATCTGTGGCCAAGGCTGGGTGCGTGTGAACTTTGTCTCGTGGGCCTGAATTCACGAGCCGAGGTCGACTGTTGACTTTCCAAAAGTCAACTGTCTCACGTTAGGCCTCGGAAGGCCGTTTCTGGCCCTTCTTGCGGCACCCCACAGTGGTAGGCCTTTGGGCAGGCATTCTCGTGACCTGGGCGTGACCTTCGCCCCCGTTTCCAGCCTTTGACCAAAAGTGACGACCCACAGCCGCGGCGGGTGCATATTTGAGCCAAGTTATTGCATGTTCATCTGACTGCATCTTGATTTGAATTTGGGTCTGTATTTCAGTAGTTCATGGGTGTACCAACTGGTCTAGGCCCGTGTAAGAATTCCTAAATCATAAATGAACTGCTGGTGAAAACCTTAGAAAAGAAAAATGACCCCCAAAAAAGGGAAATTTCAAATTTATGTTTTTTGTTATGCCCCTCAAAGACGCATTTATTTGCATTCTGCCCCTCAAAGATGCATTTAGTTGCATTCTGCCGAATCTGCCCCTCAAAAATCCAGCTTACACTGGCATGCCCTTCTGATGTTGGTTCAACTTTGCAAAATATCTGCAGCGTCGCTTCTGCCTGACACCTTTTCAGTATGGGCCTACTAGTACCTGTTCAAGGTTTCTAGATGCCCAGTGCACATTGCCGTTCTGCAAGGGTCCAGGCCCCTCGGTCATGCTGAAAAGGCCCTGCCCGTCCATAGTGAAGGCGGGCCAGAAATGTTTAGGCTGGCCCTAAGCGAAGGCCGGCATGAGGGCCCCAAAACCCGCAGGCTGCAGGCCAGCACCTGTAACTTAATGGTAGGCCCAATTACCAGGCTAGCTGCAGAGGGTGGGCCATGGGCACAGACCCAGTAGGCCCTCGCCTACTTTTCCGGGCCTGCATGCGGCCTCCAGAAGCAGGGCAAAAGGGAGGGAGACCGCGCAGCCCGAGTTTTCAGGGCATTGTGCAATGTAGCAGTGCTGGTGGAGCAGAGCTTGAGTGCAGCGCCTGAGGAAGGAAGAAGAAGCTGCTGCGGTGGTAGCCATAGTCGGCTGGAGACAGCGCAGTGTTATGAACCTGGTTGTTTGTTGCCAACAGACCAACACTTGCTCACATAGACTTCCAAGTATGTCCATACATACACAGAAGGAAGGGGTGAGGATGGGAGTATCACACCACACAGGGAGAGATAAACACAGCAGAAGACTTGACCATGCAATACGACAGAGAACACTGAAAGTGCAATTCGCTCCACAGAATCCTCACAACCACTCACAAAGGAAAGCCGAGTAGATCACATCCAGGAAAAATCAATTTCACGATTTTTCATTCACTGCCATGACACATCAATTGCATGCAATTACTGCAAATCCTGCATTAACTCTTTTCAGGATGCAGTCTTGGACTGACTAGTAGTGGTTAGTAATTAGACAGAGTGACTAATTAGTGACAGACAGGTGTCTACTGATGACCAGAATGCAGCGATTTACAGGATATGCTATTTTTAGACTTCACCCTTCTGACTTCACCACTGGATGACCCTGTATGCCATACCCAGGGAATGGCGAATTACAGTTATCACTGTAACTGACTCAACACATCAGTAGGCTGAGTGGTGGAAGTGTGGAGGTGGGCAGGAGAAGTAAAAGGCAGTGGAGAGAGCCTGTGTGAGCAGACCCTTCAAGCAGCATTGGGTGATTGACACGTGTACAGATGACTGGCATGTCGATAGGCTAGGCTGATAGGAGCGCTAGGAAATAGGAAGGGTGGTCAGATCCGCCAATAGGAACACTATACATTGTCATTGTTTTGATGTTTGGAGGTGGAAGAAGGGCTTTCTTCATCAAGAGACTTCGGTGTATTGTTCGCTCCTATTTGGTGTGCATTTCGCTTTGGTTTTCTGCATTCAACTCGCGGCCAAATCACGTTTGATCTTCTATGAGATGTTGCAATCTGGTGTATTGGCGTTCTCAGGACCTGCCGAAAAGATTCCATGTCGGAGGGCATGCCAGTGTACGCCAGAATATCGAGGGGCAGAATGCAAATAAGCGCATCTTTGAGTGGCATAACGAAAACTTCCCCCCAAAACAAGGACGTCCTGAAGAAATGTAATGGACACAAAACGCCGGTTCTTGGGGCGTCGTTCCGGATAGCAACCAGGATAGCCGCGTTGCGCTATGATGTTTCCTTGACCAAAAACATAAAAAGAAGCAGAAGAAGTCTTGAACCAAGAATATAGAATGAGGTACTCGATGCCCGAGCGGGCTAGCTCAATTGGTTGAGCACGTAATTGGTATTCAGGAGGTCGTGGGTTCGATTCCCCACGCCGTCCATTCGATCCCCCACAGCCCCCTGTGATGCGCTTCGGGTTCACCAGCGGAGATATTTGGCTTGGGCCTCCTGGCTGGTTGTGGAAGTTGGTTAGGCTTTCCAGCTCATGCCAGGTGTTAGGAACCAGGGTACTGATCCCCAAATAGAGCAGAACAGGCTGGGAAGGCTGGAGACTAAACCCATAACCTTGAGCATCCCCTGGAAAAACTGGACATATATGTAGGTACGTAGGTAATTAGAGTGAGGTAAAGTTGGTAAACGAGTGAAGAAAATAGATTAGTTATTAAAAGAAAAAGAATGAGGTACTTGATCCGAAGATGAATGGCCGTCAGTATAAGTATTGCAGCCAAGCGAGGCTCGAGTCAAAATGGGCCCAAGTGAGGCTCGAGTCAAATGGGCCCAAGCTGAACTGTTGGCACCAAGGAGTCCAATTTTTTTTGAAAAGGGTTTAAACTTTAAAGGGAACCATGTAGGAGACCAGTGTGTTATCCATACTGATGAAAAAAATGTTAGAAAAAGTAAATACTAAATCGACTTTTGAAGTTTGGATTCTTTTTCAATGTCATTCATGGGCCCAGATTACCCTTTGCAATGAACCTCCTGGTTCAACACCAATGAGTGCACATATTCACACCACATGCATGTACGAGTTCACACAAAATTCACACTGGAGACCAGAGAGATGAAGACGAGGTAGCGCAGCTTATCTTTTCCAGAAAGTATTACAAGAGCATTAAGAGTTCAAGTCACCTGCGCTCATCAGCGCGTGCCAATAGGTAACCAATAATCAGCATAAACTCTCAGGTAAGTATCTCTTCGCCTTTGCTCTTCCCTCTTATGTTTCTCTCCACCTTGCTGGTCTTCTCCCTAGCTATGACCTCGCTGTGCCTTCTCTCCCTACATGCATTCACAGTCTCTATCTACTACTTCATCGATCTACTCTGAATACACCCACTGTCAACCCTACTAACCCCTCTAGAGTCTACTACTAAGAACTAGCACTAACACTTCGGCACTGGCGCAGGTATGGCTGCCTTCTCCCTGCCAGCGCTATCTTCCTCTCTCTCCCTCACTTAGCGCAGCACTCTGGCCGCAGCGCTCTGCTCCTCACTTCAGCGCACAAGTGCACCAGCACTTCCACACTTCTTGCGAATGAGCCATCTCCGCGAATGTGAGGCTGGCCAGTCCTTTTATAGTCTTGGTTTGCACTGCATCTCGTGCCAGCCTCTATTTCTTGGGTCCTGGCTGGTTCCGGTACCACATCCCCACGGCCTGTCTGCTACTGAATGTCAAGGCTGGAACCTTCCCGAATTTCCATTGGACTGCTGCTGCTTGAGCCCTTGAGTCATGACTTTTCACTTTTGAACATGACTTTTGACTGTGGACAGTGTCTCTTGCCTGTGGGTCACGACTTTTGCCTGTGATACTACCTTTTACTCGTTAGATGTGACTCTTCAATATGACTTTTCATTAGGAAACGTGACTCCTGTCTTGAGACATGACTCCTACTTGTGAATCTGCCTTTTCACTCGTGGGGCGTGACTCTTCTGAATGAATGGCTTTTATTATGAGACGTGACTCTTGTCCCCGAGATGTGACTGTTTGCTGGGTGCCTGTTGGACCAGACTGCTGAGGTACCCGATTGTCATTTTTCTGAGTTTGACGAACTCAGCCTTTTCTTGGCCTGGGCATCTGACCCTGAGATCCGAATTTGGGGTCTGAATCGTGGAAAGCCTTTCACCTTGAAGACAGAACAAACTAAGCACATCGGAGAAGC